GAGCTGGAATAGACCTTAAGAGCCACCAGTCCAGCTCCTCACCATGAGTGAAACCCTTTACTGTATAGACATGGGGTGCTTGATGAAGCATGACGTGTGCTAGGATAGGGCACAATAATGGGGGGAGCACAGGCTTCCCTGTACGGAGAGAAAAGACCCAGGACATTTGCAGTGCATAGTTAGCCTTGGCAGGACTGCAGGTGGAGACCTGAAATATCACCACCTCACCAGAATGATGCCCTGAGACTAGAAACCCAGAAGAACCAGATGTTATGACATCAGTCAGCCTGGAGAAAACGGGACAAGTATGCACGTCCCAAGATCATGAAGTGTCCACAGGGATGGATAAATCTGTGAAATGGAGGCTCAAATTGGAGAAATGTCCCCAGAGGGCGTTCCTGCCCAGGACGGCAAATGAGAAAGAAGTGATGCAGTTCCCATCTGAATGAGGCCCCAGAAGATTGCACTGAAATCAGAGGTCAGTATATGAGATGAGCTCAACCCGGGTAGAGATCAAACAGTAGTTTGTCACAGGTTTCATAGATGTGAGTGGCACCAACAAGAACCCCTTGGAAGGGTTATGTGTATGGGGCGTAGGCTTGTATTCCTCGTTATATGCAGTGGCCCTTGGAAAGAAGACACCAACTGCATTCCCTGACACTTGCACAGGGGAAGTGAAAACAAGTATATTCTGAAAGCCACCAATAGGGAACAACGAAGGCATTAATGCCAGTCTGAAAAAGGGGGGTGGGTATGACCACCCCAGTAACAGTCATGGCAGATCTGGAATGGTAATGGCCTTCAGCATGGAAGTGTAATCATGTCTTTGATTTGGCAGTCTAAGGAAATAATGGTATTGGTCTCAATACAGGGAGACCAAGCACATCCCAGAATATATATCAAGTGAGTGATACAAGAATTTAGCTTGGCGTTAGAGGATGAGCAATGGTGCCAAAGCCTCCCATGGGGGGAACAAGATGATTCCAATCATGCTGGTACCAAGCACATAATGGTATCCTCCAGTCCTGTGATAAGTGGAGGACTGTTCATATAGAGACAAAAGCACATCCTCATAAGAATGTAACATGGGAATGGTGGTGCCCTCCTTCAGCATGGAGGAAGCACCACATCTTCCGAATCAGTTATATAAGGATAGCCATGATATCAGGTCTTGACATGGAGGCAAATTTGACGCTGCATATTTGGCTCTGCCATCCCTCGGTATCGAGGGAGGAACCTTAAACCTGGCTCGAATTCGAATGAATGGGAGGCAGAATGAGGCATGCAATTGTAGACTTCGGTATAGAGGCAATAATCTAAGCCTTGAATCCAGCTGAGGGTGTGCCAGGGTGACCATAGCTTGGGGCTGAATGAGTGATACTGGCAACATCCAGAGGGAGGGACAAGCATGGCTCCGAATTTGACAGAGTAGTGGCCCTCAGTACAGAGGTAAACACTATAATCATGATTCTAAGTGAAAGCTTGGTAGTAGTTGACCTTGGTATGGAGGGAGCAACCACAACCAGAATGTGGCAACATTGTGATGCCACCCTGGCTACCACCCCATAGTTGGGGAAGGCACCATATAAAACCACTTGTGGGCCAATCAAATTGATCTCGGAGAGTCAGGGACTGACAAAGATCGAAGTTGGGTCGTGAGTCAATTGGTATTACCCCAGAGAGTCAGGGACTGACAAGTGTTGATATAGGACTGCAAGCAAATCGGTTTGATTCTGGAGATTCAGGGACCAATAAGGATTGATGCATGGCTGGAGGCCAATCGGTTTGACTCCATAGGGTCAGAGACTGATGAGGATCCATGTAGGGCTCCAAGTCAATCAGTTTAACTCTGGAGAGTCAGGACCAACAAAGATCGATGGAGGGCTGTAAGCCTATCGGTTTTAGCCTAGAGAGTCAGGGACCAACGAGTATTGAAGTCAGGCTGCAAGCCAATCAGTTTGTCCTCAGAGAGTCAAGGACCAACGAGGATCAAAGTCGGGCTCCAAGCCCAATCGGTTTGACCCCGGAGAGGCAGGGACCGAGAAGCATCAAAGTTGGGCTGTAAGCCAATCAGTTTGACCCCAGAGAGTCAGGGACCGAGAAGTATCAAAGTCAGGCTGCAAGCCAATCATCGGTTTGACCCCGGAGAGTCAGGGACCAACGAGGATCGAAGTTGGGTTCCAAGCCAATCAGTTTGACCCCGGGGAGTCAGGGACTGACAAGGATCGAAGTCGGGCTCCAAGCCAATCGGTTTGACACCAGGGAGTCAGGGACCGACAAGGATCAAAGTTGGGTTCCAAGCCAATCGGTTTGACCCCGGAGAGTCAGGACCAATGATGATCTACGTAAGGCTCCGAGCCAGTCGGTTTGACCCCGGAGAGTCAGGGACTGATGATGCTCCACGTAGGGCTCCAAGACAGTTGGTTTGACCTCGAGGGGGTCAGAGTAACCTCAAGTCCTTAGAAGGATGAGCCTTTGCCAAGTGCTACAGCAAAGTAAATGGACATTCAATAAATTTGACATGGGAAGCTTTAGCTGTGTGACACAGAGGTGAGTGATCACGTAAAAAATTCTCCTCAGAAGCATGATGGACCTTAGCCGAGCATGAAGCAGGGCAAGTGGCCACTATATATATATATATATATATATATATATATATATATATATATATATATCAGTAAAAATGGCCTTATGGCCTTTGTCAAGCATGGCAGTGAGGCGGATGACATTTTAACAGTTTTCCTCCAGGAGTACTCTCTGAAAGAAAATTGTCTCTATTTTGGGTATAAAGGAGCTTTGCCAAGCACACGAGAAGGGTGAGCGGCCATTTTAGAAACATTTTTACCTCAGTGGTCATTGAAATAGCTTCACCTCAGAAATTAAAATCACATGTAAGACTGCGATTCTCATAGAAATCGCAGTGTTCCTCTTAAAATATGAACAATGATGTTAAAAAAATACCACCAAAAAGCAGACTGATCCTTTCAAACGGCAATTGACAGGAAACTGAATCTCTGAAGAGTTCCTCTAGATGTTGCTGCTGTGGCGGATAAAAGGAACTGAGGGTTTAGGCAGGAAACCAGCCAATAAGACCGTTGGAGAGTGGGCCTCTGGTGTGGGGAGCACCAAGGAGTGCCCTCGCACCAGGCCCAGGAGGTTTGAAATGCCCCCACGCCAGGCCTAGGAGTGACCATGCAGGCCAAAACAGCACCCCTGGGGGGGGGGCGGGGATCCAATCTGGTGTCAACCCCCCTTCTAGGGTGTCACCTAGTGCGGCCCACACACCCCAGTGACGCTACTGACTCTACTGAGGGTATATATATAGGGCACTGCCTTTTCTCCCCTTGTAGCACCATCAAGTCTGACTGGGCACCATATTTTTCAGTTATACACTGCTCTGTCTATCTAGATAGGACACAAGGGTCATGGAGTTTTTACCAAGGAGTCACAATGTGAATGTGTAACAATTTACTTTGTCTCTGTTAAAAAATAGCACCAAAAGAGTCAGTTGGTGCAGAATGCCAACGTGCAAACCTAAATTTAATGTATCAGCCTAATACAATGTATAACTAACTATTTGAGCAGTTTACTCTCACCTTTAGAACCTCAAGTTCCTCTTTACTGGCTGCCTGTTGTTTCTCCAGCCTACTACTCAGTTGGGTGCAAATCTAGAAGGAAATAACAGGTTTTCAATATAATTCACTTGACAAAGAAAACTGAACATATTTTAAGGGGCCATTAACATTTCATTCTCTTATAGCCTATTGCAAGTGTTGACAGTCCCAAGTGGTTCTCTCATATTTTGATCATTAAGATTTAAAAATTAACATTAATTGAATCATAGAATCATAGAGTTGGAAGAGACCACAAGGGCCATCCAGTCCAAACCCCCTGCCATGCAGGAACTCTCAATCAAAGCACATCCGACAGATGGCTATCCAGCCTCTGTTTTAAAACCTCCAAAGAAGGAGACTCCACCATTCCACAGGGAGAAACTGTCCAATCAATGGTGTGACGGATATGATGGGTAATTTATAATTGGCCAATAGCTTGTTTATATCAGCTGTAAGTAGAAATAAAATGTGCTTGTTGCAGGACTCTGCTGGAAGGCAGCCAAGTATTATGGGTTGATTTCAGCTATCAGTGGATTTTACTTAGAGAAAAACATGCCCAGATAATTCTTGCTCTACAGGAAGTTATACAGACTGAAAGGAGAGTTGAAACAGTAAAACTCCAAGCTCAAAATATTACTTGTTTATATTCTGCAATAATAGCTGTTGTCTTCTTTATTTCAGATTCTGCTTTCTCCAGCTGTTTTCTGAAAATCTCTTTCAACTGTATATGGGAGAGAAAAAAGAGTAGCAGTCAGCTCTGAGGAACAATCTAGTAAAATAACCATATAGCTTCCCAACCCACTACGGTTTATCCAGGGGTTATTCAGAAGACTGCAATTTCTGTCTTTTTATAAGTTAAAGATATTGAAGTCCTGCAAAGCTGATGCAGCACACAAATTGTGCTGCTAATAGCTGTCCACCATGGTCAGAGTTCTAGGACAAGTCAGGTTCTAATATGACATTTGAATGTGATCACTGAATTTAACAAATATTATTTGTTATTAAAGTATTAACAAATTAGTAATAAATATTTTAAAAAGAATATTGAGGGAGACAGCAACTGAAGGCAAGGAAGGGATGCTGATTTGTATTAGTGCAACAGGAAGATTAGACTGAACACTGGAGGTGTACTCAAATCCTGGTAGAAAAAATGATCTACTAAGTTATTGGATATGGCTGCCTTAAATAAGTTAAGTTGGCCATTACTGGTGAACTATACTATGTCTTTTGTTGTTGTGTGCCTTCAAGTTGTTTCTGACATATGACAACGCTAAGACAACTCTATCGTGGGGTTTTCTTGGTAAGATTTGTTCACAGGATGTTTGTCAGTGCCTTCCCCTGAGGCTGAGAGCATGTGTCTTGCCTAAAGTCAGCCCATGGGTTTCACGGCCAAACTGGGAATCGAACCCTAAGTCTCCAGAGTCATAATCTAACACTCAAACCACTATGCCATGCTGAGTCTCCAAACAATGTCTATCCCACCCCATACCGTAAGATCTTTGGGTGGCTTACAACAAAATCAGTTAAACAATTTAAAATGTAAAACACTTAAGACAAAAAAAATGTAAACATCTAAAAACTTATTAAACGATTGCATCATTAAAAATATGAAGTTAAAACAGAAAAAAATATTCATATATGTTTACACATTGCATGAACCCATTCAGCCCCAAAGGCTGTTATAAGAAGCCAAGTTTTAACCTGATGTCAAAATCAGACCAAAGTCAGCATCAGTTAGATCTCCAGGAGCAATAGGGAATAGGAAAAAAATCTTGTTGAAAATGGACAGGTTTGCTCTATGTGATACTAAAATGAAAGACACAATGCAGTAGTAGGAAAATCATTTCTGATGCTTTGTGTATGTTATTTCTCTTTTTTGTTATATCACGGCTTGTATTATGTATTCAATAAAGGTGATAACTGTTTTTTTCTATGACTATTCATAATAATACTATAAATAACTACATCAACATTTTCTACAGTCAAATGTAATACTCCAAAGTGTATTGTTCTAAAAATGTTATATTTGTTTATTCTGGACTTTGACATCATTTGGACATTATGCAATGTAATATTTTCATATATGACATTTGGATATCAACACAGTAAGTCTGAAAACTGACTACTATGCAGCGATTGGGATAGAATCTGCAACTTTCCATAAGAAGTAAAAGTATTTCAATAAAAAATACAACACTGGACTCTTTCCTCAGCTCTGTTTTTTCCCCTCTAGGCCCATATTTGTTTCAGAAATTCAATGGAGCTCCCAATATTTTGCTCAGTTCTTATTTTAATGTCCTGACAATCTAAGCCTCAGATTGATAATCTGTCATGGTTTGAGTATGTCACTATAATCTTGCTTTTATTTATTCATTATAAATAAAACATGGAAGTCTTCCACATTCCTAAAGGGTACCCAAAAACAGATCAGCAAAAATCAGCACTATCAAAATGCTGGACTGTTCCCTGGAGGACCACACCTCCCTCACTGAATCCCCTGCTAAATATATTTTTGCCCCCAAATCAACCCAAAAGGTCACAAGAGGCATTTTTGTTAAGCTTTTTGCCCTCTCTTGACTGTGTTTGGCCCAGAAGATCTCCCCTTTTTCCCCAAAAAGAAAAAAATTTCTCAGGGGCACCAAAGTGGCAAAACTGCTCCCTGTGACCCATAGAGGATGTTTGGGGAGCATTTGGGGCAAATAAATAAATAAATAAAAATGGGTGGAGGAAATGGAAAAATAGGCCTGTACCTTTATCACCAATGCACTAAACCATGACCAGAAAATTCTATAGCTAGCCGTATCATGATATAATGATGGGAAAGAGAGAGAGAAAAAGAAAGATCTAAAAATAATGTAGGCACAGTTTGTTAGATAGAACCATGCTCTATCTGTAGTATGGTATCATTGCTGAAGATGGAGCACAAAATGCACTTAGCACCTATTTTATTCCTGAACAGAACAATTTCATGGTGTGCAGGAAACAAAGGCCCAGAAAAGCCTTAGAATCATAGAATCATAGAGTTGGAAGAGACCATAAGGGCCATCCAGTCCAACCCCCTGCCATGCAGGAACTCAAAATCAAAGCATCCCCGACAGATGGCCATCCAGTCTCTGTTTAAAGACCTCCAAAGAAGGAGACTCCACCACTCTCCGAGGGAGTGGGTTCCACTGTTGAACAGCTCTTACTGTCAGGAAGTTCCTCCTAATGTTGAACTGGAATCTTTTTTTCCTGAAGCTTGCATCCATTGTTCCAGGTCCTGTTCTCTGGAGCAGCAGAAAACAAGCTAGTACCCTCCTCAATACGACATCCCTTCAAATATTTCTCTCAGCCCCTGTTAGAACTGAAGTCGTACGGGGTTTGCTGGTTTTATTCAATTGGTTTTATTGTTTATTGTTATGTTTAAACAATCACTGTTTTAACTGATATGTAGTTTAATTGATTTTTAAGGGGGGAGGGAGTTATGTTATTTTAAGTTGTATGTATTTTTAGCTTTGTAAACTGCCTAGATTGGTCCGCCACCGGGCGGTATATAAATAATTTTATTATTATTATTATTATTATTATTATTATTATTATTATTATTATTATTATTATTATTTAAACAGGGCTAAATATAACACCATATTCTCTAGTATAAGTCATAACATCATCCTTAATGCATGCTTGGGTTAGGTAAATTTAAGAGAAAAACACGCAAACAGAAATGAAATCACTTACTGCTTCAGTATCTTTAAGGGCAGGGATGTTCCTTTTATTCAGTGACGATAATATATATGTTTACAGAATATTCATTGTCTGTGAAGAATTCTCCTAAGACCAGTATATAACATGTCTTGAGAAAACTAGCCAATGGGTTTGTCTTGGATTTCTGGATCCTTCTTTTAACACACATTGTTATTAGATTAAGAATTCGTGACACACAGTATTGTTCAAATACAATATTGCTCTATTATAGCGTTTAATTACCTGCTAACATCTTTAGTAACCTTTATATACAGTCACAAGCAGAATTAATATTTGGAAAACCTACACACGGCATTCTTTTAATGTGTATTTAAATATGGACTAATTCTATTACAAGGTATTGATCCAGTTAGTTCATCTATATTAATCTGGAATGTAATTCATCTTCATCAAGAATAAAAGGAACTACCTTAATTAGAAGTCCTTTTTTTAGCTTGGTATACTTAAAGCAATCTGAGGGTAGCTGATGTAAAGCTATCAAATGAAAGTACTGGAAACATGCCTCTAATCAAAACAATAGAAACATGCCTCAAGCACAGAGTCAAACCAAAAACTTTGGTGACAGAGGACAAAATTGCAATGGCCACTTTCACTAATGAACCTGTGGGACAACTGGGAAATGACTGGGAACTGTAGGAGAACTTCCCATTGGATGGAACCACATAACCAGATACATCCGATTCTTGCTTTGCTATTCTTGACTATTTGTAGGGTAAACTAGTTCTAGTTAGAGGTCAACAGAGGCTTGTCTTGAAATGCAAATATCAACATGCATGTTAAAGGCATTCAAACAATTAACCTCACTCTAATCTGTCCATCACACACCACCTCTCTTGCTTGGCTTCATGGCAGAGCTATGTGGTCTGTAACTTCATGTGGTTTGCTTGATCTTTAGTCAGTGCTCTGCACATCTTCCTTTTGGATATCCTGTATTTAAATGTTTTGTACTCAAGTTGGTAATGGGATGCAGTGGCACAAGTGGTTAAGATGCTGACTCTGTTGATTGCAAGATCGTCAGGTTGGCAGTTCGAAACCCAGGTGCTGCATGATAGGGTGAGCTCCCATCACTAGTCCCAGCTTCTGCCAACCTAGCAGTTCGAAAGCATGCAAGTGCAAGTAAATAAATAGGTACTACTTTGGTGGGGAGGTAAATAGTGTTCTGTGCAATCATGCTGGCCACATGATCACAGAGTAGTCTCTGACAATGCTGGCTCTTTGGCTTAGCAACAGAGATGAGCACTGTTGAACACGACTTGACAACCTTGTCAATGTGAAATACCTTTACCTTTTTACTCAAGTTGGTAGCCCCTCCCCACCACCACCACCACCACATGGATCAATGCAGCTAATTTTACCTGGGCTGTTTCTTCTTCTTGTTTTCGCTTCTCCTCTTCAGTTTCTACTAGTTTCTGTTTGGTCAGGAGCAGCTCCTTATTTAAAACATCTGCTTTGTCTTCAGCCTGAAATGTCAAGGAAGACACACATATACAAACAGTGATAATGCAATCTATCTCACAGGGAACCTTAGAGGGTTTTAACTGGGGTGTTTGACAAGTCTGTGAAGTCTTGTATATGATAACATTTTTTATAGGTCCCTGCTTCAGAGTAAAGAAGATGAGTTGTGAGTGAGTGAAGCAGAATGTTAGAGGATATTGGGTGCTGTTTGGCTGACGGCAGAAATGTGTAAGGGAGAGGGAGAGAGGATGGCATAATGGAGTGTGAGGGATTAGAGTTGTGTATAAGGATATTTGTGAATCATAGAGGACAGTCAATAAACTACTTGCTATGAAAACACATTTTGACACATCGCTATTATTATTATTACATATTATTTAATAAATGTTCATTCAACCACACCTGATTATTACTCAAGCCATGAAGGGCTATGACAAAGCTGAAAGGAGGAAATACTTGTTTTAGTGGAATATCAAATTTAAGAGAGATGATGAAAACCTATGAAAAAAGTAATAACCCCAAAAAGTCTGAAGCCTAAATCTACTTTAAAAAGGTGGTTAGCAACCACCAGGTGACAGATAACATTCCCAACACTGATAGTGTGTGAGGTTGAAGAAGTATGAGGTATGTGAGCTGTGTTTTTAAAAAGTCTCTTCTTGCTGCTAAAGCATCAGCTCAGGTGCAGTGGCTGTGACAGTGAATTTTCCTGCAGATGCATGGCCTCTTGCAAGAGTCTCTGTACATATAGTTGATCCCGCCCTGGTAGGATTTAAAATAAATGGTTAGCAGCAATTATGACATACAGTTGGTCCTCGGTATCCATGGACATACAGTTGGTCCTCGGCATCCGCAGATGGCAAGCCTGTGTTGCCACCAATGGCAATGCGTGAATGTGGCTGTGTTGCCATTCGGGATAGCCCCCGTTGTCCCCAATGGTGGCATGTGCACATGGCCGCACCACCATTTGGGACAGCTCCCACTGTCTCTAA